ACAAATACCCAATGGTCAGTGAGAGGGGGAAAACCAGTCTACTCCAGGGATGAGTTCCCTCATAGATTATCTGATCCCAAGGGGTCAGCCATAGACACATGTGCACAATTGAAACACAAAATGGGCTCGGTAGGTTTTTCATGTGTGAGAGATGTAGCGGTGATAGAAACAATTACAGAAGAGGTCATAAACTGAGAAGGGCTTGGGAGAAGTTGGAGCTCTAGAGAGGGAGGAGAAGAAATGATGCAAACACAGCATTCAAGTGAGACATTTTTGGGAAAACAGAAAGATTAAGCTAAGACAAAGAAAACAGGGCTCATATGAAAATTTAGATAATCCAATATCTCTGCAAAAAACACCTTAACTTAATATTTTATAGATTCTGAGTGAATTGCATCTAAAATGAACTGTTTTTCAAAGAATATATATTGTAAATATTTTTATTGAAAATAATATATTTCAGTTGGACAGTGGTGGTGCACGCCTTTAATCCCAGGACTTGGGGAGGCAGAGGTAGAGGCAGGTGGATCTCTGTGAGTTCGAAACCATCCTGGTCTACCTAGTTTCAGGACAGCCTCCAAAGCCACAGAGAAACCCTGTCTCCAAAAACCAAAAACAAAGAAAAAAGAAAATAATATAATATATTCTGATCATGGTTCCTCTCCCCAACCTTCTCCCTGATCTTCCCCACTGATCCAACTCCATATCTTCTTTCTTTCCTACAAAAATATTTTTGAAACATACTTGTACTATCTTTTACACTCTCATTATAAATTAATTTGCTCAATTTGTTTATTGTGGTTCTATTATGTGCAGAACTTTTCTTTGGATCTTCTTGTATCCCTAATCTTGAGAGGTGCTTAGGATGTAATAAGTAGTCAATAAAGATGCAAGAACACTGGGGTTTTAGATTTTTTTATGTAAAAGGTAAAAGCATGGCACTAAAATCACTATACAGTGACCTAATTTTATGGCCACTTATGCTTCTAGTAGACTTCTTTATGAAATGTCTGTCCCACTCACTATGATCCTTCATTTATGCTGGCAGAGGAACAACATGGCCATTAGCACTTGTCACTGCTGACTGGACAATTGTTGGACACCAGACCAAGCAGGCCCAGTTATATTTTCTGCCTCTAGGTACTTGGAATTAAATCAAATAGAAAACCAATCTCAGTGTGTATAGAGTGTAGCCTTCCCTGCCAGCCGCTTGGGCTCTGCTGTGCTGTCTGAACCCCCAAATAACACACAAGACACTGTATTAATTATGAAGCTATTGGCTGTTTGCTTGTTTCTTACTGGCTATCTCTGACTTAAGTATGTACCCCATAATTGTTAATCTAAGTATTTCTCTTACTGGAGAAAGGGTCCAGACCTTTTACTCCTCTGGAAGCTACACCATGACTCTGCCTGTGTCTTTCTTTCCCAGAATCCTCCTCAACTCTTAGTCCCACCTATTTTGCTTCCCTATTGCCATAAACACAGGACTTCCCCATCAAGTGTGGACATCCCTCTGCAACAACCTGGACAGGGAACACTGTATTCCAATAATTAACAAGAATATTAGAAACAAACCACAAAGGTTCTTTCTTTTTCATATTATGTATCCTTTGCAGGAAAGCAAATAGATGACAGGGAGCAGCAACTACTCAAGGACACAAGCTGTTGGCACAGACACCATCTCGAATGCTGCCATCTCCTTGCCAAGTATAAAGTTTCAGAGAATCTCACACAAGTAAAGAACTGTTGAACCCAAAGGTCACTTTTCGTCTCTCCTATAACTCCATGGGCAGACATTCATCACCCCTCCATCCCTGCCCTAATCCACCTGCCTTTGGTCAAGTGATTCAAAGTCAAGGTGTGAAAAAACAATCGTCTCAGCGCCATACTGTTTTTCAGCTCCTATCTTTATTTTATATTGGGATAAATCTATATCTGACCACTGGAGTTCCAATCAACAGTTGTGGATTGAGTACACTAAGTAACAATGCCCATTTGTATTTCAAGTGGAGACATTTGATGGGCTGACTGATGACAAGCTTGGAGCTCATGGCCTGTCAGTGTGAACTTGAGACTTATCTGCTTGCTGATAACATTTAAATACAAGGAACTGGACATAATCACCTAGAGAGAAAATTTAGACAAAAATGGGAGGCAAGGAGAATGCTGTGTGATACAAGGTGGTCAGACTAAAGGAGACAGAGGATGGAAAGGAATCTGGAGTTTATCTGTCACTAGATCATCAGGACTGAGAGCCCATGCTTTTCTAGTGGTCACATCTACTTCTTCTTACGTCATCCCATGCTCACCTGCTTGCCCACAAGAGAACAAAGATCTTGCTCTCTTGTTCCTGGCATTCAGAACAGTATCTGTATACTGTGGTACAAGATGCAGTACAGATCTATTTCCTCAGAAATATTCTGAAATATCTGTTGTCAGACATATGTTACAAATATAATAATTAGCAATATTTTCATATACCTAGTAATATAAATAAAAATTATCACCTTATCCCTAAGAATGTTCCCTACTATTGCTATAGAGAGAGGAGTCACTCAAAACATGGCCTAACACTCACCGGACGCTGAAGCACATGATAGCTTGTTTAAAATGTAAATTCTAGGTTCCATCCAAGACCTACAAAACTATCCTTTGTCTTAACAACCCAGGTGATTCTTACTTACATTAAAATTGAAGAAGTACTAGTAAAGTACTACTAACAAAAAGGGGGTGACTTCATTTCAAACTTCTCCAGACCTTCAAATTAGTGAATAATGCACATGGATTTTAACCCTACTTAAAACTCTAAAAGGATGATTTATAGGGAATCTCCTTTTAATGGGAACTGGAAATTGATGTTAAAAGAAAAGCATCCAAAAAAGAAAAAAGGTACATACATTGCGTCAGTCACTTTTCATCACTTTGACAAAATACCCAAAATAAATTTACAGGATGAAATCCTATTTTGTCTAGGTATGGTGGTGCACACCTTCAATCCCAGCGCTTGAGAGGCAGAGAGAGGCCTCTTTGTGAGTTGGGGGCTAGCTTGGAGTGCATAGTGAGTTCTAGGACAGCTATGTAGAGAGATAGCGCCTCAAAATAAACAACAACAACCACAACAAAAACTTATTTTGGCTTACAGATTGAGAGATCTCGGTTCACTGCTTCTGCCTGTGTGAGGTACAGCATTGCTCTGGGGAGTGTGGTATTATAAAGCTGCCTAGGAAATACACAGAGAGAAAAGATGATAGATCCTTCAAAGGCAAATTCCTTCCGTGATCTGCCTCCCTGAACCAGTCCTCAACTTCTGACAGCCCACTCAGACATGACATTATCAATGGACAAATCGCCTCTCAGAGGCTCCACCTCTAAACACTGCTACGTGGCAAGACCAAGTTTTCAACACATGAGCCATGTGGGGAAGGGAGGAGAATTTTATTTCCAAACTTCAATATATAATAGCTCCACAATTACAGCTTACCTGACATGTGCCAAATGAATTCTGCAGGCTTCAGAGAACACTCCACTTAACTACTTACATAAGCCACATCAGCTACAGCCTGTCACGTAGCAAAGGGAACATTGTGTGCAAAAATACGACTTCTTAATTAGTGAAAGCATGTCTATCCCAAAAGCAGAAGGCCCAGAGAAGACGTGAGAACAATTGAGAAGTTGCTGCCAGCAACCTGAGCCTAGCTCTCCCAACTGACTTTGAGCTAGTTACTTAGTTTCTCCACACCTCTTTTACACTGTGGGTGGATAGACATAACCCTGAGTATCTAAAGGTCAGAAAAGATGTTGTCACTTTAAAGACTGAACTTTCAGTTATTTCTGGGACAGGTGCAGTGACATAAATCACCTGAGACAATGCATTAGATGCATGGGCAACAATTAAAAGAAATGTTACATTAATGTGCCAGTGCATTCTGTCACATGGCCTGTGGATGAGAGAAGGATGGGACAGATACCCAGAGAGATTCCAAGCCGGGAGATGGAGACAGACTTGTACCTCGGCTTCCTTTCCATTTTGCATTGCCATCGGGACGCATCCCGCTGTTGGAGAAGGTAGGCCAGCAGACCTGAGTGGTTTCATATGAACATAGCTTTACAGCATTAGTGGTGGGAAATTTAAACACATAAAACTGCGTGCATGAGGGACACCACCTTGTTCATATCACATACTGCCACTGTAACATAATCACTTATTCAGTGTATTTATGTCTCCAGACTCTAATAATCACTTTTAATGCTGACCTCACCGAATTGTTGTGGGGATTTAAGATAAGTTCAAGAAAAACTTTATATTCATATTGGATACGGGAAGTCTAACTGACAAAGAAGGATAATGAAGTTTAGCAGTTTCCATTCCACAGCTGGCTGGCTGGTGGCACCATCTCTGGGGGCAAAGTTTCGCTTCCATGTATGGGTGATTTTACTGTAATATGGGTGATAATTACTGTGATTTTTTTTAATCTCTAAGTCCCATGTTACTTCTTCTGGATATAATACTGCCATATCGGCCACGCTACTTGTTAGAGTAGAAATACACTGATCGCCTACAACGTACCAAGCGCTGAGGATACACAATCTTGGAGTTTGTATTAGGTTGAAGGAGCCTCTGAAACAGTCGCATTGTCCTAAAGTGCAGAGTGTCTGAAGTGGAATACTAACGCTACGGTTAACCGAGAGTCAACTTTCCTGTCTTCATGAAGAAGGGAAGAAAAGCAACTGGTAACGGAAGAAAGGAAAGGGGGGCAAATGTAGAGAACACATGGAAGGCTGTCGGAGGAGAGGAAAACCTAGTTTATCAAAAACGACAAGGAGCAGAAAACGGGTAGAATTCATATGAAATAAGGGGAACTCTCTGTGTGCTCCCAGCGACCTCGCTGGCTAGGGACCACACACCTACCAAGCTGTTATTAAAACTCTCCAACTCCCAAGCCTCGCTTAGAAAGCATTTTAAGGGCGCCAACTTCCGGGACCGTCGCGGCGCGGTGTTGTGACGTCCCGATCGGGCGCGACTTCCGGTTTTGGTTACGCCTTTCCAGCATTTGCGGACAGCGTTGCACACCTTGCAGGTGGACAGGTGAGGTGCTGCTACCCGCTTTTGCCTGAGGAAGGTCAGGGGTGGTGGCGGTGGGCGGGGCCAGGATAACGGAGCAGCCATCACCCCGCGTGCAGAGCAGCCGAGCTGGACCGTGAGGAACTAGATGGTACTGCAGGCACCCCACTGTGGCAAGGTCCTCGGAGGCTCCCGGGAAAGGATGAGCCCGTGGTGCGTTGTTAGCCAGTCCGCTGGAAACGAGTCAGAGCTTGCCGTGGGGCTGCCCACGCATCTGAGGTCCACACTGCTTTTCTTGATCTCTTCCTGCCTTAGACCTTTGACGCCCTCTTCCCCCTTACAGCTCAGAATACAGGTTGAGACAATTCTTTCATGAATCAGTAATTCATCCCTTCCCTTTGAGTTACTACGCATTGTCTGTTCCCTGTCCTGTATGCTAAACAGTGGGAGAACTTACAGTCTGCCGTGGAAGCCACCCATCCTTCTTTGTCTCTTAAAATGCATGTCCCTTTAGCTGGGGTAGGGGTGCAACCAAAAGACCTGGGGGAGTAGAAACATGTCTATCTGTCTTTAGTCACAACGGTTTGTTTAAAACAAAACTTTGGAACCTTAAGCGGGAGTGTTTGGTGTCTGTTGAACGCTTTCTTGTTTTCCATATGACGTTGAAAGGCCTTTCCATCCCTGAGAAATCCACATGAGAATCCCCCTCACGGTTACAGATAATATGTTGTTGCTGTCTGTCGGATTTTAAGGTTTTTTTTTTCTTTGTTTTTAATTTTCCAAAATGCTCCTTTGGCATGCCTTGCATTTCTGTAGATTTCTCCAGCTTGAGGTTTGCTCAGCTTCTTGAATCTGTAGATTTATGTCTTTCTCAAATTTGGGAAGTTTCCAGATACGGTTTCTTCAAGTGACTCTTTTAGCCCCACATTGTCTCCTCTGGAAATCTGACTGTGTGAATTTTAGGTTGTCATTGTACCAGTTCCTGGGCTACTGCTAAGTCTTCAGACTATTTCCCACTAATTCAAGTCCTTTAATTCTGTGACTCTATCCAAGTTCTCTGATCTTTTTCTTTGTTGGTTCCACTTTGGAGTTGATCCCACTGTGTAGTTAATTTGTTATTTTCAGATCCCTTGCTCCTTCCCCTCCCCCCCCTCCTCCGAGACTGTCCTGGAACTCTCTTTTAAGACCAGGCTGGCCTTGAACTCACAGAGATCCGCCTGCCTCTGCCTGTCGAGTGCTGGGATTAAAGGCATGTGCCACCACCGCCTGGCTTTTGCTCTTGTTTCTTACATAGCATTCTTTTGGTAGCTTCCAAATTTTAGTGTGCACTTACATTTTTCTGGTGTTTTGCTATCTTCTTGTAAGAATAGCTTAATCAACCCCTAACTCACTTTTGGAAACTCTTATGTTCCTGGTGCCTTCAACATTGTCCCAAACTGCTTGGATGAAGTTGGGATGTTAGTAAGTAGGAGAGACTGGTAAGATCGTCATTGGAAAAATGTCAGCTCGCTTTCTGAGAAGTGCTTTGTTGTACTTATCTCTTAAATGCTTATCGGTGTGTTGTGAACGAATGCTACATGACTAGTGAGGTGAGGTCTTAAGAGGTGAGACAACTTTAATCTCATCCTCAGGAGACACTTGGGTTTGGATATCAGCCTGCCTGCACTGCGAAAGCTTATTAAAATAGGTCATGTGGAAAGTTCAGATAGGGATGATGTGCTCTGGTCTTCCAAACCAACAACCTATCATTTTGAAGCACCCATTGTAGGGTTATCAATGAAGTTACTTCCTGATGACTCCTGTCCCAGGGAGCAAGTCAAAGCCAGCTGTTGTTTTTCCTAGCTAACATACTTGGGATTGGACCAAGACTGACTTTGCACTATCCTTTTAGAACTGCTAACCTCCAATGTTTGTGAGGATATAGCATGTTGTCTAAAGGCATTAAGTGCTAGCATGGTGTGCCATGTAGCAAGAATACGTGGGGTTCCTGAGAACTTTTTATTTTTTAAACTGTAACTATAGTGTGTGCCTGTCTCTTGCAAGATATGGTCTGGAATTCCTGAATTTCTAACTCATTAGCCTGATATTCAAGACCTTCATAGTTTGGAGTAGGAGAATCTCAGTGCTGATGCAAATGTGTATCTGTGTGTTTCTGCACACCTGCCCCCTGTTGTCTGCATTATGCTTAAATCTTCTTTTTGTTTGTTTTGTAATGTTTTTGAGGCAGGGTCTTCTGTAATCCAGGCTGACCTTGAACTCCTGATCTTACCTCTCTTTCTAGTGATAGAAGAATTGGCATGAGCCAAAACACCTAGGGTTTTTGTTTTTTGGGTTTGTTTTTTAGACAGTTTTATACAGTGTATCCCTGACTGGTCTCAAACTCATCACATTCCTGCCTCAGTTTCCCAAATTCTGGGATTCTGGGCATGTGCCAGTGTGCCCAATGATAGTTTCCATATTGGTATTCTTTGACTCTTCTAGAAAGCCCTTATGGTTATTAACCATCTGCTTTTGGCCATTCTCTTTTATAAAGTGCCTTTCAATATTTTGCCTGTATTTTAACTGGATTCTCTCTCTCTCTCTCTCTCTCTCTCTCTCTCTCTCTCTCTCTCTCTCTCTGATTTGGAGGTGTTCTTTTCATGTTCTGGATATGTGTTGAGAAAATCTGTTTTGTATGTATAGATACTACACACAGGTAATATAAATATATGGACTGAAGATGTAGCTAAGTGATAGAACTATTTTCTGAAGTATGAGATGAGACTTCCCGTGTTCAACCCCTAACCCCACAAAATAGTAATTATTGTTTGAATAGATCTTATGCATAGAGATTAAGTAAATGAAATCAGTCACAGAGTGGGAGAAAACTGGAAATGTGTACACATCCATGCACACACACAAATGCATAATGGCAAATGAGTGGAATTCAAGATTCAAACCTGTTGCTGGAGAGTATCCTAACAACAGTATTACAGCTGCAAGACTATACATATGTGTGTGTATCTTCTCCTACTCTAGTTTCTGACTAAACTCTCACTGTCAATGTCTATTGATGGATGTAAGTTCTTAATCTAAAGGATGCATTTTAAAACTCCTTTATGGTTAAGGTATACTATACCTTGTTGAAATGACCTTCGACTGTCCAAAGGTCAGGAGACACGAGTCTCTGGGAAGCTTTATTGTTCTCTTTTCCTTCTAAGCTGTATGTGGCACTCTGTTATGGTTCACTCTTTTCCTTATTGATACCTAGTTGGACCAAGCTTTTTTAAAAGTCCATCTTTCCCTTTCTTCTGTCCATATATAGCTTCATTTTTTCACATTTTCCTGTTTTATTTTCTTGTACATGCAGACATCCAGTTTGACCAGCACCATTTATTGGAGATGCTTTCTTTTCCTCCCTCCCTCCCTCCCTCCCTCCCTCCCTTCTTTCCTTTCTTCCTTTGAGTATTGCTGGCTTCTTTGTCAGAAATCAGGTGACCGTGGGTGTGTGGATTTATGTTTTGGTCTTCACTTTGATTTCAGTGATCATCACGTCTTTTTATGCCAATACCATATGCTTTTTATTACTATAGCTCCGTGGTACAGCTTGAAATCAGGGATGGTGATACCTCTTGCGGCTCTATTCTGTCTCTGTGTCTTTTTATCGGGGAATTGAGAGCATTGACATTAAGAGATATCAATGACCAGTGATTGTAAACTTCTGTTATTTTGGTGGTGGGGTATGTGTTTGTGTGTGCTTGTGGTTTCCTGACTTTATTTAAGGGATGTATTATTTTCTTCTTTAAGGACCTCTATCATCTTCATATTGGTTTTAAGGTCTTTTTTTTTTTCTGTGCTTCAGCTTTGTTGGAATATTTGGGGCCTGCTGTGATAGGATAGTTGGGCTCTAGTAGAGACATACTGTACTGACTGTTACTGTGTTCTTACTCTGGCCTCTAGGCATCTGGGTTTGGGGAGCTTACAGGTCTAGATGCTGATTTCTGGGGTTTTCTTTCTTGGATGGGCGTTTTGTTCCTTGGTTTGTTTCCTCTCTGTATTTTCATAGTGTGATGGCTGTGTGTTGCCTGTTTTCCTGGCCTGCTCAGCTGACGTGGTCACGGGGACTGCCTGATGGTACTGGAGGCTAGGATTAAGTGATGAGTTGGGAGGAGGTCTGAAGGGATTGTGCCTGGGATCCACAGGAGTCATGGGCAGCTGCAGCAGGAAGGGAGCCCTCAGCTGGTGATCTGTTGCAGAGCTAGGGAGGAGACTGAGGGATTGATTAGGTCTTGAGGAACAGAGAAACCAGCCTACCTGGTTTTCTGGCAGGCATGAACTGCAGTTGAGCAGGGGACATCTACTTGCGTTGGGGGCTGGAGTATAGCAACGAGTTAGGTAAGGGAATATAGGAGAGAATGGTCTGTGAGATCCATAGGAGATGTGGGCAGGGGAAATGCAGACTGCAGCTGGTGTTCTGTTGCAGCATGAGGAACGGCCTGAGGCATGGGGTCTGGGGGAACAGAGACAGTGGAGGAGGCCTGTGGGCAGGGTCTGTATTCCATATTTTTATGTTATACTTTAAATCTACTCTCTGCTCTCTTCTCACTCAAACTTCACACTTGTTTCTCCTGTTGTGCAAATTTACATATTGTTGCACAATTCTTTTGGTGGTTACTGGTATTTTTTTTTAAACAGGCAGAGAAAAAAAAACCTTTTCTCTGGCTTTTCTAATTGTCATCAGTGGAAGATACCTGGGAAGCAAGCTGGTCTGCTATTGCAAAATCAGATTCACTACAATTTAAACTTAAAACAAACCTCAAATGGCTGGTAATATTGTTAAATTGTGAAACACTTAACAAGGCGCTGGGTTCAATCCCCAGAACCACTCAAAAAACAAAACAAAACCCAAAAAACAAAAACAAAACAAACAAAACAAAACAAAAAAAACCCTCTAATCAAAACCAACTACTGGTCCCTCCTCTGTGGTTTAAAACATAAATAATCAGCATGTTAGTGTTTGAAATAAAGCTTCTGCTATTTTTCAT